GGGTCTGCATGCAGCTGGTGGTTGGCTCCTACGTGGTTGGCAGCCTGAACGCCTTGGTGCACACCACAGCTCTCCTCCAGCTGTCCTTCTGTGGCCCAAATGTGCTGAAACATTTCTACTGTGAAATCCCACCGCTCCTGCAGCTCTCGTGCTCTGACACCTGGCTCAACCGGGTCTTGATGCTCTCGTGTGCGGGCTTCCTCGTTGCCTTCTTGGCCTTGGCCATCCTTGTCTCCTACACATTCCTCCTGCTCACCGTCTGCAGCATCCGCTCTGCGCAGGGCCGGCACAAAGCCTTCTTCACCTGCACCTCCCATCTCACCGCCGTCAGCCTCTTCTGTGGCTCCGCAGCTTTCTTGTACCTCCACCCTCTCTCCAGTCGCGCGGAAGAGGAAAGGAAAACAGCCTCCGTCTTCTACACGGTGGTGACCCCCATGCTCAACCCCTTCATCTACAGCCTGCGGAACACGGAGGTGAGGAGTGCTCTGAGCAGAGCTGTGAGGAAGGTCCCCTCCTGCAGCCATTGCCAGCAGTCTCCCTTCAGCCACATACTAACAGGTGCCACACATCATAGCAGATCGTTGGACGCCTGATGCAACAGGGGCATTGTACGTTCCTGCACCTCTCCTGAGAAGAACCTATTTTGCCTTGGGCTGGGCATTGTGTGGATGATGCTTTTCCAAGGGCTGAGTCCACTGGAGAAGGAATGACTTGTAATTTTGAATTTAGGTAGGATGAAGGAAAGGAAGAAGAGCAGTAGTAGAAACTCTTCCACTGCTGGTGAATCCTTCAAAGGAAGAGATATTATGAGTACTACACATACCTGCACAGGGAGATGAACTTACAGTAAATTCCAACACAATAATGATAGATCCTCTATATTCATTAAAATATATATATCAGGGTAAAATGGTGATTTTCACAAGTTGATTGAAAATGTTCTCAGTTGTTGACTAAGGCTATGCTTTCCTTCAATAAACCTGAAGTGTGGTTTTGACTGTCTTGTCCAACAACAGCCCAGGCAGCGTGTCTTTGCCATCCCAGCTGCAGCTGAATAATAAATTTTGCTTGCAGGTTCACGAAATGAGGCTTGAGTAGAAGTCACCAATTCTAATTGTAGGCTTTCTTATCGGGGTTAGTCACCACTAGTTCCCCTTATGGAGACAACCACACGTGTGGAGGCTGTGATTCATCTGCCCTATGTCCAACGTCCTTCCCATAGGGAAAATTATTTTCTGGAAAAAATTTACAGCGTTCTCCACTTGCTGCTTGGCAGCCAGGGCCGATGGGCAGACGTGGAGTCGTGGCAAATGTGGAATTTGTCTGAGGCCATCAGCCCCAGGGGCATTTCTGAAGGGCATCAAGGACAGCTGTGGCTCCCCATGCTGATGCTCAGGTGTCCTTCACAAATGCATGCATCGTTTTTTTATTTTCCCCATGTGTTTATGACACAA